TACCAAGGTCTGTTTACTTAACTGGTAAGTGGTGTGGGAGAGAATTGTTTATTTGCATTTTTGAACTACTTGGCCTAATCAATTATTGTATAGCCAAGACAAAGCCTCTTGGTCGATCTGGTGTATACCCACTGTACTGTATGCTCAAACCTGTATAAAAGCCATGGTGCTTAAGTGTATGCTATATAATCATTACCCAAAAAAAGACTACTCTTTCTTTTTCAGGTTGTTCTCTCTCTGGAACACGGGCTGTGGGCTCCAAACCTTCATTTCAATACCCCAAATCCGGATATTCCTGCCTTACAAGATGGCTCTTTGCAGGTGGTTTGTGAACCAATACCAGTGAAAGGTGGCCTTGTCAGTATCAATTCTTTTGGCTTTGGAGGTTCTAATGCTCATGTCATTCTGAGGCCAAATGAGAAGAAACACCAGCCTCTGGAGACTTGTACATTGCCACGACTGGTCCAGATCTGTGGCAGAACACAGGAAGCTGTGGAAGTACTTATTCAAGAGAGCAGAAAGCATGGAGGATGCAGCCCATTTCTAAGTCTTCTTAGTGATATCTCTGCGATTCCTGTGTCTTCCATGCCTTACAGAGGCTACACAATAGTTGGCAGTGAGACTGAAGTAAAAGAGGTCCAGCAAGTTCAAGCATCTGTTAGACCACTTTGGTACATCTGCTCAGGTAACGCTACAGCAGTGGGTCCAGGCTTCTGCATTCTTCTGTGGGTCTGGGGTTTGAGTTAGTGCATCCTGTGCTCTGTTTAGCATTCTTTCTTGTGCTAGAGACTTTCTAGCATAAGGTACTATCATGCAGCCCTTTACTAAATGAAGGAGACTCATGTTCCCTGTGTTCCCTTTAATCTTTCCAATTTAGCTGTCTTCATATTATAGCAAAATCTGGGAGAATGAAAAACAGTGCTTGATTTAGATGATATTTGAAAGGTGCCATATTTTGCTCATAGATACAATTCTTCCACTGCCAGAGCAAGTATGTGTTGTCTTTCCCTTTTATTGACCCTTACCAAAATTCACATTCCCCTTGCTTATTCTACAGGCATGGGAACACAGTGGAAAGGTATGGGCCTGAGCCTGATGAAGCTGGATCTGTTTCGCCAGTCTATACTGCGTTCAGATGAGGCTTTGAAGGGCACAGGGCTGAAGGTCTCAGACTTGCTTCTGCATGCAGATGAGAACACTTTTGATGACACAGTCCATGCATTTGTTGGACTAGCTGCTATTCAGGTAAGACTGAGTGACTGGGAAAGGGGAGCATGGACTGTTTTCTAGTCTAGATCCAATATGAGTAGGCTAATGTGTCTGGCTGGTGAAACATTGTATGGATTATACTCATCAGTAAGTTTGTGTAATCAAGCAGATGACAGCAATCTGTTAGAAATCTGCTTTGATAGTAGAGTGTGATGCATTCTTGGTAGTTTTGGGTCCTGTTGTTTTGAAGATGCTTGGTGGAGTGTTGACCTAAACTGATCTGTGCACATGCATGTATGTGGG